GGTTACTAGACGGTCTCGACTTGGCACGAGCCTTACTGAATAGTGTGTTGATATACAAATGCGCATAAGATACTGCAGAAGAAAGGAAAAACTGTACACTTACGTTCTTTACAAGAAACTTCGAGATAGCCTCCTTGCCTTCCATACCTGGATATCAAAAAATGAGATCCATTGCTATTTTATTTTTTTAAAGAAAAACATAAATGGCTCATACCTTCCCAAAAGTGCTGCTAGACAAAGTATTTAGATTTTCATTCATGAATACACGTACTTACAACGGGAAAGCTGATACCAGATCAGTTCGATACAACAAAAAAGGCAGTGAATTGTCCGCGTATAAAGTCACAAATAGTGCATAACCTACAAAAGTGAATGGGATTCTTAACATATGAAAGACGTGCTGGACATGCTGAGTGACACCAACAACTTCTCAGAATCAACACAACATTGAAAGCAAAGAACAAACGTGGTTCAAAACCACTGCTGGAGTTGCATATTAGTGATTTACAGGACCATTGAGAGGAATGGAATTCACAGAGTAATCAGTATAACTGATAGCTTCAAAAAAAAAGAGCAACTTATTAACTTATTAATTAAAAATTGAAGATTATAGCACAAGAAAGCCTAGAAGATAACCCCAAGAGATCAACAACATGAATCAAAAGAGGCAATTAAGGTGATACAAAAATAACTTAGAACAAGAATGTGATAATGCTTGAAATGTTCTCAAGAACATAACTACAAAACAGGGAATGTTACCGGTAATTTATATGGACTTTGCTCCAGAGCAGCAGCAAGCAATGAATTGTCATTGAGAGCGTTGTGAGCGTCTCGAAAACCGGATTCTCTAAAAAATTGATATTATAAGAAACTAAAATTGAAGTGTATTTACGATTGTAACCTACCTAACGGGAGAAAGAGATGCATCCGGATCGACTTCCTTTGTTTTTGGAGGTGTGATCGACAAAAAGGCATCCACAAAGGTACTTGGTAGCATATCCACCACCGGTATTTCCTTTATAGGGCTATACAAGGAATCAGTCCGAGGTCGCTGTAACGTTCGATTTTAACTGAACGTCAGTATACACGAAATATCTTACCTTCGATGGATTGACAGAACTCGTTCCCACTAGCATTTCGGTAGGAGGAAACGTCGTCTGCAAAATCTCCCTTTCTCGCAACTGCTCCGATGACAACTGATCTGCTTCCGTTGTGACCGTTGAAGGGTGGAACTGAAAACTACAGATGAAGAGGGAATTTCGCACAATGTCTTCTACATCAGTTTATAACAAATTTGAAATCAAAAACATGAACTAGTGGACAACTGATTTTGAGTTAAAAAAGTAATAAAAAAATGCACCTTAAAGGCAGCGCCCCCTCAAAGTGGGGTGCCT